TCGCCCGACTCGATCGCTTTAAAAACAAACGTGTTTGTTTTCAGTTTCAGGCGATCGAGTCGGGCGATCGGCCCGATCTAGCGTAGTGGGCACCTGTGTTAGGTTAGGGAGATAAAAAGCCACTAAAATTTGGTAACTTCCAAAGCCTCCAAGGAAATTGCAAATTGACATGTTTTAGTGTCGTTGATTATGTTTTGTTTGTTTAGTATGGGGTTGTACGGCACTCGCAACTGCATAAGGTCATAATGAGCGCGCGTTGATTGTGTTTTCCGGTAAAACCCGCAAATTACTATTATTACTTGTCAAAAGAATAGATATAAAGGGTGTTTAGCCGGAGGAAAAAAGAAAAGAAAAATAAATGTTCCCAAGGTGCGGAAAAATTATTGGGAATATTTTTTTTTCTATTTCATTATTTTGACAAGCGCCTGATTTCACCAGGGTGCCACACAGTTGGTCGTGGAACTGGCTCGTCTTCGACTTACCTTTTGGGGGGCGGACTTTCCATCTGTCACTGAAGAAAAAAAAGGTAAAGTGAAAATATAAAATGACACACTGCAACCAAGAATTTTTCAAAACAGTCACTTCAACCTCCCCCCCCCCCTTCCCCCTTTTCCCATTCTGTCACTCCCTACGCAAAAGCAATAACATCATCACCACCAACAACAACAAAGACATCATCAGCATCATCAACAAAATATCATAATCACCATCATGAACAAGTAAAAGACCATCATCACCACTAGCAAGAAGAAGAACTTCAAAAGCAGCAACAACAACAACAACAACAACAACAACAACAACAACAACAACAACAACAACAACAGTCCAAATGAAAAAAAATATACCTGACCCTGTAACGTCTGACCTCATGATCCCCAAACCTTTCACGACAACCCCATGACTCCTTAAAATGACCCAGTGACCTCTCATCATGACCCCTTACCATGAACCACGACCTCTTACTGTGACCCCATGACTCCATTACCCTTCATATAACATAACCCCATGACCCTTCGCCATGACACCGTGACCACTCCCTATAACACCATGACCCCTCACTATAACACCATGACCCCTTACTATAACACCATGACCCCATGACCTCTCACCATGAACTCTCACCATGACCCCTCACTATAACCCCATTATCTCTCACCATGACCTCTCACTATAACCCCATGACCGGACACCATGCCCCTCCCTCACTATAACCCCATGACCTCTCACCATGGTGACCTCTCATTATGCCCCCTCACCATAACCCTTACCACAAACCCGTGACCCCGTTACCTCTCAACGTGACCCCTCACCTTTTCTTCCCCCGTACACGCTAACAGCGACCAGGAACAGCTCCAGCGCCACCTGCCACACCACGAAGGCCGCCAGGATGTAGATGACGTAGTCAGGGGAGTCGGCGCGGCCCAGCTGGGTGCCGAAGAAAATGGTGACAACTGGTGGAGGGAGAGAAAGGGACAAATATATAACAATAATAATAACAACTGCATTTATATAGCACATATCCATGTTCAAGAGCATGCTCTATGCGCTTTACAACTATTATTACTCCAGCAGACCCTCTGAGAACACTCAGAAACATTCTCGGCTTCCGCGGAAGCATACAGTGCAAGTTGTGGATTTCACTGGCTCAAACACTATCAAACTGACAAGATCGTTCACTGTCTATAGCCGGGTACCAATTTCCACCTGGGTGAAGTGAGGAAAATTTGTGCAAAGTGTCTTTCCCAAGGATACAACGTCGGGCCAGTGGCGGGATTCAAACCCACGACCTTACGGTTGCGAGTCCGATAGCCCAACCACTAGGCCACAGACGCCAAATATATATTTTTTTCTCTCTCTCTCTCTCTATCTCTCTCTCTCTC